ACGAGTCTGTCCGAACCTGCTTTGGTCCAGAGATCCTGACGACAGCATTCTAGAGGCATCACTTTCTTGCAGTGCAAACTGAAAATAATCATCCTGCCCCCCCTCTGCTCGGAACAAAAGAAAGAAAGAACCAGTTTTAATAAGGACGTTATCGCTTTGCTTAAGCAGAGTTCAAAAAATAAAAGAATGCAGAAAGGTTCGCCTCTCTCTCTTGGTTATGTTTTTTTCCAGATGCCTTAAACCACCAGTACCTTTCCCATGTATCGGCCGGGGGCAGAAAAAAAGGCCCGAAATGGAAACCGGGCCGCCAATGAAAATCATCAATGGTGGCCCGATCCCGCTTGGCTTCCAAATATACTGGCGCGTATTTGATTCTCAAGAGGGGAAAGGTACTCGTCGTTTAACAATGTATACTACTCGTCTTACCATGGCTGCAGCTCCTCATGCCCCACACGTATCCCCCAAATCCTCAGAGATATCTCTTCGCCTTTTCCAGGACATGAGTCGTGTCTCCAGCCCGGGCTATGCTCATAATTCCCTTGAGGCCTTACATCACCTGATAACTCTCTGCAAGCATCCTTTTTCAAGCCAAAAATACATCAAGGACCTAATCAGGTTCGGAATGCAGAAACTAGCTCAGTCAGAGTGCATATGGATGTTTATGCGAATGCCCAAGCGCATGGTCCGGACCGGGGCACCCTCATGCCCATCTGCATTCCTACAGGGCTAGCTTTGTCTTTTCAATCGTAAACCGGCAATTTCTATCCTTCACCCTCTTTTTAGTCGCTGGCTAAGCATTCTTGTTGTATGGTATCTGTTCTGGTGTGATCAGATTTTGCAGCAACGAATGCAAGGAGAGCTATGGGGACTCGGTGACGTTGAACAACTGAACACCATTTTGGATTGCGTGCGTGCGCACAGTCTGCCAACCCCATTCAAGGAGGAGCTCTTGGCCTTCAAGTCTTATATAGGGGCCTTGCTCGCCATGAGATCTGGGTATGCAACAGTTGTGGGACCATTGTTGACCCATTGCCGGCACTTGATCCGACGGCATTCACTGGCTTTCCCTATCCCTTTAGATATGATCGAGATGCAGGAACTAACTTATGCAATTTGCAGCGCGACGTGCCCTTCACCAGCTGTAGCTGTTGATAGGCTGCAGACACTTGGATCTTCCGCTGCAGCGTCACCCGATATAGCTGACGCTGCTCAGAGATTCCTGCTGGCCATGGACATGCAGTCACGATCGATACTACAAATGTCCGTTCCACCGCCCAAGGACTTATCACTAAGTCCAGTTGCAGATCATAACACTCAGGTTGGTGCCGGTGCTAATCTGAAAGTTGCAGATGGCACCAAAATGCAGCACATGCAGGATTTTGCAGAACCTGGAAGCCAATTATCCACACATCCATCCAGTGTGCAGCGAACTTATCTAAGAATAACAGATCTGGGGAGTCCCAAGGATGCTCAGAATTTCCAGCACAGTTCAACTGTCTCCTCGATTGGAGGTGTCTCAGCTGGCTCGGACCTCAGGGTCAATAAACCACGCCCCTTCCAAGCCTTCGAAGACAAGTTCCTGCGAAGATTTCTTAGAGATGTGGATGGAAATGAGGTTGCAGAAGACTGGCTGGATCCTCGGGAAATAGAGCGAAACCTGGTTGTCCCGGTTGGCACATCGTTCCCATCTGGGGCATCTAGGGACCACCCATGTCTGTCCTGCATTTCTCAGACCCCAATTAAAGGGCCGGCAATGTGTCTTGAAGATGGGCTTTCACTGGCAACATTGAGTGAGGCCATCATGTGGTCAAGAGTCAATCCGTTCTCCCCAACAGGTTCAGGTCACTGGCTTGTAATAAGATAATGACAGGTGGCCACCATCAACTTGATGCCAGCTCAGTTTAGGTATCTCATCCAGAGCACCTATTTCCATGGGCCTATGTCATGGCCAGACCCTTATTTTTTATTTTTGTTTTCACATCTGCCGGCGGTGCCACAGGAGCTGGTAAGAGCATCCCCTTGTGGTCCTCCCCTCAGATGACTCCAGTCTATTGGTGGGGCAGCTGCACCTGCTGGAAAATGGCTCCAGTGTCATGGCCAGACCCTACCACCGGTCCCATGTTCATCTTCACAAAGCACGAACCAACATGTTTATGTGATAAGGTGATCACACATGGCCACCACTAACTTGACACCACCTCACTAGCTATCGGCTGGAGAGCACCTACCTCCATGGACCTATGTTATGGCCAGGCCACACCGGTCCTTCCTTCATCTTCAGAAAGGATGAGCCTGTTCATAAATTTCTACATGGCACCAGTGTGGGTTGAGCCTTAGCTTATTGTGCAAGAGCTTTTAGCAATCTTGAACAGAGTTACGCTCTCTGAGCTAATGCTCTTCATGTACACGTCCTGAGAACAAGGTTCATCGTTGCTTAGCGGAGATTGCCGTAGGCAATCAGTGTTCATCAGCTTTATCATATTCTGATGTGGCATTTCAAAAGTACCTGTCATTACACAGTGTCTGCTGCTCCTACCTATATGGGGCCTGCAGAGGAGAAGGTAAAATGGGCACATACAGGTATCATTATCCCTCTTCATATTTGAGAAAAAAATATGTAAGCCCTTTCGCATACCAGTTTACTGAAGCCACTATTGTGCACTTGATGTGCCGTATCTCGCAACCAAACATCATTTTGAGCTTGCTCTCAAGAAGGTCGGATCCTGCATGAAGTGCAGGTCCTCTCGGCGATCGACCATTCTTTCCTCTTTTAGTTTCCCCCCGGCAAAGGATGCCTAATATGATATGCACACTACAGCTTACTCTCACGACACTGCAACAACCGGGTTGGTGCACCATCGATCATTCAGAGGCTATGACGACAGTGACAATGGCGTTAAAGCACTGTCACTCATCATCGAGACAACAGATAGAAGGGGGAAATAATGCATGGCATGGAAAAGCAATGCAGTGGGGGGCTTGGCAGGGACAGCGTACCATTATTAGGGGGAGAACGTGGAAGGATTGTAATGAGATATGACAACAAAAATTGCCTGATGATGACAATAGTGACAATGATCATGGTGATGATGCTGACGATAATGGAGATGAGGGTGATGAAGTTGACGATGTTTGGTGATGGATGCATACATGCATGAATGTTGGTGGTCCTAGACAATTGACTCAATGCTGAAGACGCATCATGAATGCGGAAGATGCATACTGACTGCTGAAGATTGGAAGCAGAGTATAGGAAAGAGATGGTTGATGACATGTGGTTTGATGGGATTGTGCAAACTCTGACCAGAATCGGATGGGATCCCTGCTCTCCATCACGGAGTGATTTCATGTGTTTTTTTCAAACATTCTCCCCATCAGATAGTGAACCCTGTTGATATCCTTGTATGTAGACAAACACCTGTAGCTCCTCTTGAGAATCAAATATTCACTGTACTTGAGAAAACTCTGTTTTGCGTATACCTATTATAATTGAATTTTGTGTGGGTTCACCAATGTAAGCAGTCAGGGGAGGGTTTGGGGGAGGGAGGAACCTGGAGTTTGTGCCTTGGGTTCACAGGGAACTCGGAGCAGGCCAAAAGTCAGTGTGAGACCCGAGCCAGTACCAGCCAGTGAGCTGGCACAAGCTGTGACATGTCGCATGTGTTCTAGAACTACGCGGCAGCTTTCTTCATGGACTTCCCATGCCCTTCTTTTCAACTCTGGCCAGTAACAGTCATGGGCTGCAAGCACTTGCGATCAGGAGGCCTACATTTTTCACGCCCCTAAAACAAGCCTTGCAGGCCCACTTTGCGCCCGGGACCACTCAATCCTCACCCAGGTCAGCTGGTAGGCATACCAGTTTCTGATCCGGCCAGAAATTTTGGCCAGATTTGGAATCCAGTAGCTGTGCTGGATCACTATACTTCACTGAGAGAGAGAGAGAGAGAGAGAGAGTGCTAAGCCGCCCGATCTCACGATCAGGCAGCTACTAACATCTTTGCTCCCCTAAAATATTCCAGGCGCTTAAGGTCTCCTTCCTCTCTCAGGTCACTTGGTAGAACCAGGTGCGCCCTGCCTGCTGATCAGCTCTCTCTCTCTCTCTCTCTCTCTCTCTCTCTCTCTCTCTCTCTCTCTCTCTCTCTCTCTCTNTCTCTCTCTCTCTCTCTCTCTCTCTCTCTCTCTCTCTCTCTCTCTCTCTCTCTCTCTCAGTGTGTGTGTGTGTGTGTGTGTGTGTGTGTGTGTGTTTGTCTCTGTCTGAAGCGTGTCCACCGGTGGCTTTTTCATCACCATCGCCTTTCCCTTTGCCTCATCAATTACCCCGCCTTTTCTCCTTTCTCCTTTCCCTCGTCTTCACTCTCCACTCTGTGAGGGGTGCATTCAAATACCTCTAGCGCGTGTATCCTCGCATGCAAACATGCACAAGATAACATACTAAAAGCAAACAACGCCACCGAAATGATGCTTCGTAACACTAGAGAATCAATACTCAACAAGATCGGCCCCATGGTAATGGCCCAACGAAGAGATACCCTAGAGACCCCTCCCACAAACTCTGAATTTCACTCTTCAACATTAATCAGTTAAAGTTTATATACAAGATGTATGGTCTTTATGGAGAAAACAGAAGGATCTTATCCATGATGATATTTTCGGTGGTTCAACAACGGCCTATTGTTTTTGGGCCGTAAATGCAATGAATATTCCAAACTGCTTGCTCAGCAACGCCATCTACAGGAAATCAATCTCCAACAACAACTTCGCCAGTTGAAACAACAAGAAATAGAGTCGGAACAAGAAACCAAACTAAACGAGATTTCTCAAGAAATAAATGAGCTCGAGTCTAAAATCCTAAAATGCATAAAACATCGCTGGCAAGGGGTCAGAATCAGAGGAAAGATGAAAGGCTATAATACAGAAGGGATTATGGATGCCAATTTTTTTGTTATGGCAAAAGTCAGAGTTGGTCGTTCCACCATTGAAGCTCTCTCTGATCCCCAAGGGGACCAACCCTCTCGAGACATCCACAACAGCATGTACAAAAATAGCAGGAGATTATTACAAAACTCTCTTCACATCAAAATGCACGCATCAACCCCAAGATCAAATAGTAAAAGAGATAAAAGACTTTCTTATATCATTGACAAAATCTATATCAGATGAGCATAAGGAAATGATTGATAGACCACTCACGAAAGAATAAATAAGAGCAGCCCTCATAATGATGGAGGAGGAAAAAACTTCAGGGATTGATGGTTTTCCAAAAGAATTTTTGGAATTCATGTGGGATTACTTAGCTTAGGATCTTATGAACTATTATCACGCAGTTTGGGTATCAGGCCAAATGGGAGAAATAGTAGGTCAAGGAGTTTTGACCCTATTATACAAAAAAGGAGATAAAACAAACATACGTAACTATAGGCCGATTACTCTACTCACAGTAGTCTACAAACTGGCGGCAAAAGCACTAACAAATCGATTCCTGAAGGTTATGACGGATATCATACATCCCACACAGACAAGTTTCATTGAAGGAAGGAACATCCAAGACAACATCCTATTGGTAAATGAACTAGTCAAACTCTCTAGACAATCAAAGCATAATGCAACTTTCATTTTCATTGATTTTGAAAAAACTTATGACCATGTAGATTGGTTATTATTAAACAAATGTCTAGAAAATTTTAGCTTTGGTCTCAGTTTCAAAAGATGGATAAAAATTATACACGCTAATGCTACAACTCGAGTGATGGTGAATGAAAATTTGGCCTCTCCTATTGAATTAGAACGTTCGGTGCGACAGGGCGACCCATCGCCCCATTTCTGTTCGTCATCATAATGGAGGCCCTAGCGGTCAATTTACGATGTAATAAGGATATAAAACGTATTGATATTAGTTACATTCCAAAATAAGCCCTCTCAATATGCTCCTTGTTTGCAGATGACCTTTCTCTGATGGTCTCGAGACAATTTGATGGAAATTAAAAAGTTGATGGACAAGTTTTGTTCCCTGTCAGATATGAGGATAAATTGGGAAACCAAAACACAAGAATGATGGATACACCATCTACTTGAACGTGTAAGACCTCCAGAACAACCAAACATTAATTGGATGGCCCCACCAGATCCCATCAGAGTATTGGGCATTTCCCTGTCTGCTGAGGGCAAGCCATCAATGAATAATGAACGAGTCTCCAAATCCGCTTTACCAAAAATGGAGTTATGGAAAGATAAGCATACCTCTCTCATTGGACAATCGCTGGTCATAAACAGTATGATCCTAGCTTCATTATGATATAGAACGGCGATTTGGGTTGTAGATAAATCGGCACTGAAACCCTTAAAAAGGCAAATAATAACTTTTCTATGGAGAGGTAACCATGGCAGGCGGTAATTCAACCTAAGATAAAAGGAGGGCTAGGAATTTTAGACCCTGCCACCCAGGTCATGGCACTTGACATTCAGTGGATCATACGACTTCTTTTCAGACCACAAAACCCTTGGCTTGCTCTTGCAGAGCAACAACTCTCACGTCTAGCCCCGGAAGTCCCATAAGGGACAAATCCTTTGCTTTGGATGAAAAACCGTAGTTGGTCTATTACCAGAGGTAGAACACAACCCTCAAGCCAGACACTAGAAACACATTGTCAGGCTACACATAGGGATATAAAAAACAATCCATTCTGGTCACATCTCTTCAAGACTTGGTGCAAGTTACCTCTACCGGACAAGGTTTCACCCAATCGGTGGGAAGAGGTTTGTCAACAACCACTCTTTAACAACAGATGGATCACTGACTCTCAAGGTAGGACTCTGCACTGCTTGGAGTCCCCCTGGAAGGGATGGATGAAAAATGACATCCTCAGAATAGGTGATATTAAAACCCAGACACCAGAGATTGTTACTCTATTACAGACCTCCCACCTTCTCTACGAAATTGTAGAGGATTTGCAAGAGCATTAGAAAAAATCGAAGAATCTATCCTCATTGAATGGCTCAAGTTCCTTAGGAAAGACCCTCGACTCAAAGAGAGTGACTGGGTAGGAATCCAGAGGGACCCACTACATATAGGGAATGTGGTGATGGTAAATGATGATGGTTCCGCTCTTCTTTTTCTATTTACTATTAATCATAACAACTGGTTAAAGGAGAGTCAAACAAATAAAACCATTTGGGTCCAATCTGAGCAGATTTTTAGAATCAGAGTGTTGAAATGCAAAGACCGTTGGCTGGCCTTCAAACCTGCATGTGCTATAAATAAGCGCTAGACCCTCTCTCATGGGTATGGACAGTTCCACTGGGAAAACAAAGAATGTGTACCCGCTCTCTTCACTCACTGACAGTTAAATCAACTTACCGTCTGCTTAGACCAAGAATGGAATTAAGGAAGAAGGTGGAAGCTAGATGTATGAAACATTTAAATGTAAGCAAGGAAAAAATCAAATGGTTAAGAACCATAAAATGCAAACCCACAAAGGTAGCCTCATTGCAATGGCAGATCGATCACCGATGTCTCCCCACTAATGATTGGATCATAGTCAGGTCTACGCTAAAGGAGAGAGGCATTGCACGTCCTTGGTGTAAATCATGCTCAACAGTTTTTCCATCAAGAAACATTCCCGAAACCATCGAGCATATATTCCTTCAATGCCCAGGAGCGGCTGGCTATGGAGATGGTGGGACAGGATCCGAAGATCTCTAAAACCCCTAGTGAACTGGCCTTGTGATTGGAGGGCCATACTATGTGAGACATGGTCTCAAGAACAATTAGATGACTTCTCTCACAATTTGTTTATCACAGGGAGAAGAGCCATTATATGGGCCCTTTGGAGAAGACGATGTACTCTAGAAATGGAGGGAGCAAAGTTGGAAGAACCAGAATTTACAGTATCTATCAAACTGCAAATACAGACAGTTATCACAGGCCAATGGGGAAAAACTAAGGAAAAAAATTCAATTCTTATCTTCCAAAAAAGAAATCTTAAAGCACATTCAACAATTCAGCGGCGCTTGGCTCGGGGGACCTCAGGGGGGTAAGATAGGTAAAGTCAGTTGGAATGGAGGGAGGAGAGAAAACAAGGATAACCAAAGAGAGGTTCTTGAGAAGGACTATCGCCTGATCTTCCATGAATGGACTCATGTGGATCCTGCTATTCCCCTTCGGCTGCTGTCGGATTTCCCAGCTCCCTTTCCTCTACCGTCCCACTGTTTGGTTCCCTTGAGTTGGTTTGGTAAAGACTAAGGAATGTGGCCAATTTTCGTTCCTAATCAGCAGGAAAATAACTACTAGAATCCAAAGCAAGATATGGCGATATGGCGCCCCCAAAAGGGGTGAAGAGGTAGCATCACATGAAATCCTTTTTCACTAGGGACGCTGGACCCGGTTTCCAGCAGAGACTACGATACAATGGCATGTCTTGTCCAATCACAATGTTCAGGGACGCTGGACCCGTTTTCCAGCAGGTGTTGCTCCCCACCAATAGATGAAGCCTCTCCGACAGTGCTAGCGGTATCTGCTCTTACCAGCATCCCTAGCATCTGCCCGGGTTGTTTTTCCAAAAAAAAAAAAAAAAAAGGGGACGCTGGACCTGGTTTCCAGCAGGTGAAGCTCCCCACCAATAGATGGAGCCTCCCCTGGGGTGATAGCGGCATCTGCGCCTACCAGCATCACTATCACCCGTGAGGGATGTTTGTTAAAAAAAGAAAAAAGCCTTAACCAGGACCAAGCTACCCAAGCAAGTACTGTTCAGCAAGCCAACCAAAGCTGCCTCAACCCTCATGCCCTCCTGCCCTCATGCCCGGAAGTCTCGCATGCCCCACGCTGGGTTACAGATCAAGCCCCACACAGGGTTGGTTTAAGGTGTGGTCTAAACGTTAGGCCAAACAGCCTGGGGTTTGAAAATGAGCACTTGTGCAATTCGTTGTTTTGGGCTGCACTTTTTTGTAGCCCCTACGTTGGACCTCGCTCCACCAGTCNAAAAAAAAAAAAAAAAAAAAAAAAAAAAAAAAAGTCTGCCCTGAAACAAATGGATGATGAAAAAATTCCACAACTAGGCGTTTTCGCAAAGGAGTTTTGGCTGCAATACTGGGAGCTTTTTAAGGATGCCCCCATGGAGTTTGTTGGAGAACATTTGGGGGGCTGATTAGCCAAGGACTAACGACCTTAGTGTACCAAAAAAGGGACATGGTGAAAATACACAACTACAGGCCAATCACCCTACTGCCGTACTACCTCTCCCCTACAAACGACTGCCTCCTCCCATAAATGAACCTACTAATTCAACAAGGGCAGACGGGATTCATGCCATAAAGAAACATTCAAGACGCGGGTCCTGAAGTCTATGAAACGACCAAATACACCAGGCAAAGAAACCAAAAAATACCCATACTCCTGATCGACTTCGGAAAAGAAAACGATCACATAAATAGTAAATAGTAAATACTAAATTGGGTTCTTTTTTAATATTTGGACAAGAATGTACCGTGATACCCAGATCTCTGGAGACCAACATTATGCTCAATGGACCCTCTCCAAGGGAACCGAATAACTGTGTGCCAGGTCGAACGCATAAAACCCTAAACACCGATGTTGTATGCCGTTCTAGGCCATAGCTCGTGCCCAATGCGAATTCATAGAACACGCTGGGCGGGGGCTGTGTGGCATTTTAGGGATAAATGCCAAAAGGAAGAAAAAAAGAATCCTACCATCCCCACCCCATCCCCCCTAAACACCCCCCACACCCCATAAACCCCCTTACCGCCCTTCCCCCCTAGCACCTCAAGTCCCCTCCCCCCACCCCCCTTCCCCCCCTCTTTACCCTGTAAGCCCTGTACCCCCTTTACCCCATCAAACCCCTTATCCCCTTCACCACTTTACCCCTCTTACCCCCTTTTGCCCACTTTCCTTCCTCACCCCCTTTCCCCCTTTACCCTCTCACCCCTTATCCGCCTTACCCCTCTACCTGCTTTTACCCCCTTAAACCGCTTTCACCCCTTTTACTCCCTTCCCTCACCCACTTTATCCCCATTACCCCCTTTTCCCCCTTTACCCCCTCTCCCCTTTAGCTCTTTTTACCCTTTTACCCCTTTTCCCCCCTTACCCCCTTTACTCCCTTTACCCCCTTTACCCTCTTGCCCCCCTTAACCCCTATACCCTCTACCTGCCTTACCCCCTTTACCCTTTTACCCTCCTTACCCCCTTTACCCTCGTACCCCCCTTACCCCCTTCACCCCCGTCATCCCCTTACTCCCTTACCCCCTTAACCCCTTTACATTCTTACCCCCTTACCCCTTTTAACCCACACCTTCACCCCCTTACCTCCTTTACCCCATTGAACCCTTCACCCCTCTACCCCAATAGCCCCCTTTACCCCCACTTCCATGGACTTAATTCCTAATGGAATAGCACGTGCTCAGCAATAGCTTGAGCAATATAATTGGTTGAACGGCAAGATCCTTAGTTTTTGGAAGGCTCTTCAATCTTTCACTGGATCCTTAGTTTTTGGAAGGCTCTTCAATCTTTCACTGAATGGATTTCCTGATATTTCGGCAAACTTTGTGCGTGGGTCTTCCGTAGACACCCCACCACATATAATACATATTTTGCATGGCTACGACGGCGACGTCCGGACCGCCGTCCAGACGGTCTGGATTCAGTCCGGACTCCAGACGTCCGGTCTGGAAGGTCCGGATCTGCCAAATTTTGAGGGGGGGAAAAACGGTCCAGGACCCATCCCCATTGAGGAGCATTCTCGCCATTCGCTTTGTTGATGGCTGCACACTTCAGCCACCAAGCGACTGGTTCTATACACTGCACCTACATTCTCGCCATTAGCTTTGTCGGTCGCTGCAACCTTCAGCCTGGCGGCACATAGCCCTATAAACTGCAGCCCCTCGCCATACACACCACCAACTCGCCGCATAAACCTTGGCAACCTGGCCCAACCAATGCCCACCTCACCAGCCAATTACAAAGTTTTTCCACAGCTAAAAGAATAAGCATGCTCCTGTATCATCATACAAGCATAATCTAATCGATTCAAAACGGATCCTCAAACTAATCCGCTCTGGACAGGGCACGCTCTTCTCTTATGTTTGAAACTGGGGTACAACCGACATAGAACTTCAGAAAGCACTCTCCATCTTGTTCCCTCCAGTACCCTCCATCGCAGAGGCCACATTCTTCTTCATCTGCAGCCTCTCCAGTCGCACCTCCTGCTCAGGGACGTTTAGAATGCACTCTGCGCTGCATAAATCTAGGCTGCAAGCTGCTCAAACGTCAGAGACCCGCCCCTGCACTGGCTTCCCTTTAACGGATGCCGTGGAAGACAATACCCTCTCTCTCTCTCTCTCTCTCTCTCTCTCTCTCTCTCTCTCTCTCTCTCTCTCTCTCTCTCTCTCTCTCTCTCNNNCACACACACACACACACACACACACACACACACACACACACACACACACACACACACACACACACACAGAGACAGGTCTCGGCTAGAAGAGCTCTGCCCAGTCCGCAGACGTGGTGATTTCGAAGGGGACATCTGAAAGGTTACATCAGGCGCGTTTGGCTCACCAATGAACACGCCCAAAAGAAGACCTGCACGCCCCTGGGCGATCGAGGAACGCACGGGCCGGAGGAGTTACAGACATAAGCACGCACGCATACACAGACAAACTCTCACAAAGACAGATATTCAGATAATCTCGCAGCTTCTGTGAGGATAGGTGTTTAACAATGGTTACCTGTGACGGATTCAGACAATGTCGTCGATTCAAATGGGCAATTTTAGGTGTACTACATGCTCTCATGCGAACCACCTCGGGAAGCAATAGCTACCCTCGGAAGTTGCCACGCTACAGTAGGTGGTTCGGAATCACTTCGGACGACGGCGTTACAGCTTGCCCGCGCCAACGAAAACGATAAAGAAATGGAGCGTCAACAGTGATTGATAGATAGATAAATAGATAGGTACGGGAGAAAAAAGAGGAAAGTGAAAAACGATTAAAGGAAACCATCTGAGGCACATGGCTCATCATCGGCTTCCCTCCTAATTTCCTGTTTAGGCGAGGGTGGGGGGTGGGGGACGAGAGAGAGAGAGAGGGGAAACGGAAAACAAAGCGATGACCTGGAGTCTCATCCGGATCGAAGAAAAGCCATCTGCTTTCCTTGACACATACAGTAATCCCAGCTGCCTGATTGAAACAACGTAGTTCACGTCACGGACGGGCCGATCGCGATCGCAACCATCCCGCTGGCCAGTCGAATATTTATGCAGAATGTGAGTGAGCATATTGTGACCGGTGCGGCGCAACCACTGCGGGACACTGCCCTCCCCTCCAAAGAACACCGTTCATTGCCTGTTACTCTCTTCCATCATCAACTCACGTAAGTAAACCCTTCTGAGGCCATATATCTACCTCGCTCGCTATCCAACCATGAGTCTTGACTCGATCGACGGCTTTAAATGAACGGGAACATGCTGTCTTCTCCATACGACCGACGGATTTAAATGAACGGGAACATGATGTATTCTCCATAGAAGAGGTTCCAGATGAAACGATAAAATGCCAGGATAGCCGGTTTAGCGTAGCCAGCCTTGGCCAATTTCCAGGCGTTGTAGGAAAGACTAAGGGCGAGAAGCACGTGTCCTCCGATCATCACAGGAAGGTTGAATGTCGCGGGCATGCTCAGCGCGAGGGCGATGGCGCCGACGTAATTACACAGAATGATGCCGGTTCCGATCATAGATATTGTCGGAACACCGAGCCTGGTGGCGAAAGTGGCAATGTTGAACTGTCTATCACCTTCCACATCGGGAAGGTCCTTGGTGATCGCAATGGCCGTCGCGAAAAGGGTGACGAAGACAGTGATGAAGGCCACGGAAGGGCTCCAAGCAAATTGCAGTCCCAACGCCGCACGCGTCGCGTAATATACCCCAAAGTTCAACAGAACTCCCCGGACGAATGCAATGATGAGGAATGCCCAGAGCGGGTTTTGCTTTAGCCGAAAGGGAGGGACGGAGTAAATGGTTCCCAGCAACAGCCCCGTGCAATACAGAGCGGTGATCAGCCGTCCGAAGTTCGTCGCGACAATCCCGATCCCGACCGCCGACAGAAGGAGGCAAAGCGCCCATGCCCATGCAGGACTGAGATCCCCCGCCGCGACCGGAAGGAACGGCTTGTTCACTTTGTCGATAGATACGTCGTATATCTGGTTGATGCCAACAATGTACCCGTTGCCGCAGAGCAACGCCAGCAGGCCTCGCAGAGCTCTGGGCGTCAGCGCCCAATTGATAGCGTGAGAGTTTTCCATCAAGGCCCTCACAACAACAGCGGTTGTGCCGAGGAGCGTACCGCGTATGGTATGCGGCCGTAGAAACCGCCAAAAAGCGTCTCTGAACTTGGACACATTCTCAGCTATGGATACAGACTCCTCCTCCTCGACAGTCTCACTTATGGAATCCGCAGAGGACGCTGTAACGGCCGAACCGGGCTCCCAACCTGAAGCTGCTGCTGCATCCGCTGCAGCGGAAGCTCGACCCTTTATCGGCGCGCAGCGCCTAAAAACGCCACGAGGTAATAGCCAGTCCTCCTCGCGTGACAACAAGCCTCTGATGACCATTTCGCACGTGACACTGTGCGCCTTTCTGCTCGCCGCCAGTTGAGAGAAACCCCCATGCTGACATGAACCCGAAACCTGGCTACCACGGGTTGATGGGCCCGAAAGGAAACCCGCAGCAACAGTCTCTTGCACGCTTCCCTCTTTTTCCACCAGCGAAGAATCGCATGCTCTTTTTCTGACAATCGCACTAAGTCTTCCGAAGCGTCCTCTTTTCCAATGATTACAAACGAGCCGATCGCTAGCGCTTCGACCCCTCCCGCACCTCCTCGTCGCACAAGCAGCACTGCTTGTGCTTGCTGATGTTGAGCACCATTCTCGGCTTACGCAGTCGCCATGCGACAATGAGAGTGAGAGTGATAACGACGATCTTGTGTCCATCCCTGCTGCTCCTGACGTGGGGACTGAAGCTAGTTCCCCTGTTCTTGCTCCGTCGTAACGATACCTTCTCTGCGGCCGTCTAGGGATGGCCACATCTGTCCCGGTGAAGGCAGATTGAATTTCAGGTTTCTCCCGCGGCAGCCGCAGCACTACCCCGAAGTCGCCTGACAAGAATAGCCATGCGCCTCCAGACAGCGCTGCGTTCATCGATCGGAGACAGAACACGTGTCTGATTCCTTGTCGCTCGCGCTTGCTCCTGCCCCTCCCCGCCTCTCCTTCCTCCCCTCCTGATTCCTTTCTCCAGGAATTCTGCCTTTCTCGCTTCCCAATCCCCGCACAGCATTTCCAATCGAAAAGAGCGGACGATAAGCAACTCAACAAAACACTGGTCCACGTGGGCGACACTCAAGCATTCCCTGCCGCTCTCTCCATCGCATCGGCCCGTTGAGACACACCAAATCGTGTTCGTTCCGCCACCCTCCGTCTTTTCGGAGATGCAGAGTCCGTACAGCGTCCACCCTGGCGGCCGATTCCCACGGTCCGAGACGGCACGGGTAATCCGGAAATGTGTTGTCTGTTTTACCCTTTTTTTTAACAGAAAACAGCCCGGGGCCACTAGAGGGGGTGGTCAGAGCATCCCCCCTCTAGTGGGACCCTCAGCGGCTGCTCCAATCTATTGGCGGGGAGCATCACCTGCTGCAAACCGGGTCCAGCGTCCATCCCCCCTCTAGTGGGACCCTCAGCGGCTGCTCCAATCTATTGGTGGGGACCATCACCTGCTGSAAACCGGGTCCAGCGTCCTATATAAAAAGAATAGCACCTGCTGGAAACCGGGTCCAAAAAACAACCCGAACTAATGCTAGGGGTGCTGAATAAAAGCAGACACCACTAGCACTGTCGGCGAGGCTCCATCTATTGGTGGGGAGCAACACCTGCTGGAAAGCGGGTCCAGCGTCCCTGAACATTTGTAAACATTTGTTTGAACGGACATGTTCTTTTTTTTTTTTTTTTTTTTTTTTTTCGAGAAAAAGTGAGATATTCCATTATAAAACAATTGAGGCCGGGAATTCCTCACAAACAACCCGGAGGTAACCAGTCACCAGGCTAGTGCCCAGCTTCAGTTTATCTTATCCAGGGAGAAGTCTCCCTAATCAACTCATTGAGATTCAATCGAGCCCTCTGCTCTTCTGCCTACCGTAAAACAACTGTAGTTGTTACCACGCTACCTAAACGGGGTCTAAGCGGCCCCTGGAGCTCCTCCAAAACCTCACAGCACTCCGTCCGCTAACCAATCCCACCAATACCGCCAGCCTACTGCGACTGTGTGAACCGAGTGCCAGGTTCTTACCTCGTATCTTCCTTAAACCACGAGCACATCTCTAACTTCCCTCTACGATTTACCTTTGCAAGCCAAGACTTGCCTTCGCACCACGTAGTTGTAAACCATCTGAAGTTCCTCCCCAAGCTTTGCTTTCCACATCCTTTCCGGTACCAGTCTGCCTGTATTTGTCTTCTGAGCCTTGACTTGATGAGAGACTTGGTTTCCATGTCCGACATTCCCCAGTTATGAAAGATTGATCGGTTCCAGTGTTCCCAGATGACCGAAATGACCACCGAACGGCAGACCTGAGCTACGTATCCTTGACCTCTGGACAAATTCATTCCTTCCGGTAGAAGCCCCATAAGGACCCAGTCCTTATCCCATTCCCATGCCTGTTGAGAGAAGCTGTTCCAGTGCTCCGACCACCAGCTCCAGATCCTTCTGGAAGCGGGGCAATCCCACCACAGGTGAGAAGTCGACTCGTAGGGCCATGTGCAACGTCTGCAAGCAAGGTTGATCTCCGTACCTTTACTAGCTAACCAGACCGCTGAGGGGGTGACAAGCCAGGACAGGGACCAAAGGATCGCAGCATACTTCTGGGAGGGAAGCTCCTTCAACTGTTGCCATAGCCGATAGACGTTTGCCGTCATCTTATCTGCGTCTGGGCTCATGAGGGCCTCCCATCTCTGGGTCACCACTTCCACTGGAGAGCGTTTGGGGACGGTTACTTTGAGCGATGGCGTATAGTCTTCTAAAGTAAGCGTAGAGCCTCCTGCCCCTAATCCTCTCCAACCCCAAGCTCCCGGATCCAGTTTCCTTGTGTTGATAGGCAGGTTATTTCCGCTCAACGTTGCAGTGTGTTTTTCCTCCTTATCCCATACCTCGGTAACCCTTACTTGTTGTAATCTGCAGCCAAGGGCTGGGGCCAGCAATTCTTCATCTAATACCAGTACTAGGGAGTCCGAGGTCACAATCCATGCTTGCCATTGTCTTGTGCCCCCTTCATCATGGCCCGTGAGCTTCCAGGCCAATGAGTCGTCGGAAATATACCAAGTACCAGGAGGGGCGATTCCTTCAAGGCTCAGTAAGAATTCCAGTTCTCCGGAATGGCTTGCAGTATAAGCGATCTCTTGACTTCAATATGATGCAGGTTTCCCAGTTGTGTGCGTAAGTCCTCGCTGGATATCCATTGGCCTGTAAGTTCATCCCAGATGTCCTTGATCCGCAGGACTCCCCTCTGGATCCAGCTGTCCCCAAAAGATCCGGATTCTCTATTCGTTCTGAACCGCTGGTCGTTAGGGTCCGTGATCCAAGGGTTGTCAAACAGGGGTTGATTAAGTACTTCTGCTCGGGTGCAAGGCTCCACCGACTGGTTCGGGCAGACTTTCTTCCAAGCAGTAATAATATCCTCCCAGAACTGGGAACATATTCTGCGATTCAAGAATGAATCCAGTTGAAGACATAGCCAGACATCCTCCTTGCGTTTCAGCTTCCATTCGGAGGCTAAGATGTACTCCCCCATGGCTACCCAATGGTCCGACCCGTCATTGTTACCTGTTTTTATCACCCACTTAGCTAATAGCCTGAGGGCGCAGTTGCGGCTGTGAGGGTCTGATAAAGCCTCCCTCTTCTCTAGCACAACAGATCAATTCCCATGCTACTTTAGATATAAACTTATCTTCCTTATCCCCACTGGGCTTCCAAATGAATCTTGTTGCTTGCCTACGGATAAAATTTATCAGAGAATTTCTCAAAAGCCTTACCGTTCCTACATACCAAAGGAGAGAAAACAGGGAGACGTTTATTATCATGACCCTACCGAACAGAGAGAGATGGGGTGCCGATCCCCACAATGTGACCCTTGCGACGACCTTGTTTTGCAGAATCTCTTCCTAGGTTCCCTGACAATTATCCATTGCAACCATTACCCCTAGAAACCTTTCCGCTTCCCCGTGATCTATTCTTTTCATTCCCCAATCTACCTCTAACACCATTGATCGCGGTAAGAAGTGCACAGACTTCTTGAAGTTCCAGTTAACGATTGGTTTGGAGAAGAGAGAGTATTCATCCAGAAGTTCCTTGAGTGCATTCAGTGCTGTCTCAGAGTTCTCGCAAATAGCAAACAGATCGTCGGCGAGTGCCTTGACCTTGCAGTAAGACTGAAAGACCATCAAACCCACAATTTCGGGTCGGCAACGGATGTTACAGAGAATCACCTCGAGTTGCACCAGAAACACTAGTGGGCCCAGGGGGCAACCCTGCCTGAGTGATTGGGTGATATGAAAGGAGTCAGAAAAAAATCCGTTTACCATGACTACTGTAGTAGAGTGTGTGTATAACACAGTGACCCATCGGCAGAAAAGTTCACTGAACCCCATCTTGCGTAAGGTTGTAAGAACAAAAGTCCAATCAACCCTGTCATATGCTTTCTCCAAATCCAGGAGAAGCACGGATAGGGGTCTCTCTTCTTTCTCTATGATTTTCAAAGCCTCGACTGTTGTAGAAATATTGTCAAAGATAGATCGTCTGCGGACGAACACAGCTTGATCCCTAGCTACAAGGTCGGGTAAGTAACGACTCAGCCTTCTTGCCAGGGTCTTAGCCAACAACTTATAGGACACATTCAGTCTTGATATTGGACGCCTGTTACGGACTTCATCCTTCCGCCCTTTTTTTATAGAGAAGCGTAATAACGCCGTGTTTCATACTAGGGGTAAGCTCACCATCCGTTAAAATATCATTATAGAACTTAATCAGTGGGGCTTCTAGCTCTGACCAGAACATACTGTAGTATTCTACAGTAAGACCGTCTGAGCCAGGAGCATTTCCCCTAGCCATGTCCTTCAGCGCTTGTCTGACTTCCATCTCTGTGATGGGTCGGTCCAAGTCCAGTTGTCCCACCCTTGGCAGTCGCGCGTCTACCACTTCCCAAAGATCTATTAAGTTGTCCTGGTTGGTGGTAAGTTCCTCTGGGCGTCTCCGAGAGGTTAGAATGTCCTGGTAATACTGTTGTGCGTAGCTACACATTTCTGTAGACGAGACGGCCACAGGTGCCTGTTCGTCGAAGGGGTGCATTAAGGATTTCATCGCTTGGTGGTTATATCGAGGCGACAAGAGTTGAAACGTGGACTTTGACAGCCTTCCCCCCGTTGCTATGCCTTTCACACTCAAAATTTCCACCCATCGTTTTGACTTCTCCTCCTGTATCTCATCCCACTGCTTCATCCGAACTGCTCTCTCTTGTTTCCACCATTGCTCTTCCTGAGAGCTGGGGGGGAGAATTTCCACCCGTTGCTCTGCTTTCGCTAATGCCTTTTTCACTGCCGCCTCCTCTTTGTAAGCGCTTAATGCCAGAATTTTTGAGAAAACATTAAGCATATCGGACAAAAAATAAATATCTGCGTCCCACCATTGCTCCTCTGATTGAAATAAATATCTATGTTTGAACCAATTACGCAGGTGATTAGTGACCCAAGATTGCACCCCGGGTCTCTAATGGTTTCCTCATTTAACCGGAAGATACCTTTACCTCTAATTTGGCCTTCTCCTCATAGAAAACTCATAATTATCAGACTGTGGTCCGACGCGGGATGTGGGATAGTCACTACTTTGTTTGTATTTACCCATAGTTCTCTAGAGGCGAGGAAAAACTCCAGCCTCAGTGGCGCCACTTGTCTCCCCTCCAACAACTGGGAGGAGTACCAAGTGTAGCCTGGACTCATCGGATTAGAAACTCGGAAGACATCCACTAGATCCAATTCGGTCATCAGTTCGGTCACAAGGTCTAATTCTCTGCCCACATGGTGGTTAGCAACTAGGGGATTGATGTCATCGAGGGAGACATTCCAGTCTCCTCCAATAATCACATGTCAACGTCTGACAAGGCTTCCATCAGGTGTTCGTAGAAGACATATATGTCGACTCTTTCGGTTGGGGCATAAATGGTAACAATCGCCCAATCATGTCCTACCGTACTTAATTTAATCCATGCACATCTCCCCCAAGGATCAAAGTCATGGTCGAGGATACCGCCATCGAAATTCATGTGCATGCGGATGGTCACCCCCCCCCTTGAGCCCTGAGCAGGCGCCCACACATGGGGGCCATCCCATCACGGTCCAAGTCTCAAAATATCCTTCTCGACTAATTTGGTTTCCTGCATGCAAATAATCTAAACGGTTCCTGTGCATCCATGACTTAATGCGACTGCGTTTATTACGGCCCCCCAACTCCCGAACATTCCATGATGCAATTTTCACGTTAAGCATTTGCAGCGTTTTCTGCCGCCGAAGGATGGATCCGAACCAAAGGTATTACGGGTTGGGAGGGTGTGGAAGAAAGTCCTGACAAGCGACTGTTAACGTCCCACCTTTGCAGGAGAAATGAACGAAAAACTTCGGAAGACAGAGCCCTCAGTCTGGGGATTTTTGTTGAGAGTTTTCCCAACACAGATGCATCGACAAAATCTAAGATGTTAATCCTAGCAAGCTCGGGGCTATCAGGATAAGCTAACCAAGCAAGGGGAATTAGACAAAGTCCTCGACTAATCAACAACGTGAGAGAATCTTGCACGAGTCTGGCGTCCATCAAGGGGGAATATAGTTTGACTCGTATACCTTGCTTTTCGACAAAGAACTTCGGTGTCGGGACGTCCGGGATACAGCGCACCGCTATGTCTGGACCAAATAGTCTCCTCGTCATAGCCACCGTTTCCTGAGGCATCGGTGGGCCTGAAATTTGTAGCGTTGGAAAAATTGTTTCTGATGGGGAAACTGCCCAAGCCAGGGCGAAGACGCCTTCCTGCGCCGCCGTGAACAGCAACGGAAGGAGGTACTTGGTCCAGCTTTGACCCTGGTCCTTCTTCTCCATTAGCTGACGATGCGACCGCTTCATGGACTTTGAAGTAGAGCCTTGCTTCCCCTGCTCCTGACCGTGCGACGGTGTTCCGGAGGCTCCATAATTTTCGTCGTCATTTCCTTCGCGGATATGAAGGTCCTTCATATCCTCGCTTAGGCGCCTCCTTAGCTTCGTTGGAGTCACCGCATTTCGCTCGCGTCCAACATCTTGTGATGTGGTCCTTCTAAAGGAAGGAGACGTCCGGCCTCTTGGCTGGACTGTTTGTCCCTCTGCGCCCGATGTTCCTCCGCCCATTGGTGCAACACCGCCCCCGATAACTCCTCCTGTGGGGTAGGTTGAACCTTCACCCGTAGTTCTGCACCCCCCCCCAAATTTCCTCTGGGGGAGAAAAAAGGGTTGGATCTTATGGCCAAGGGTCGAACTACGTGTTGTCGGCCGTCTTGTCCACTTGAGCCTTGAGAACGCCGATCCGGGGACCCCCTTGGTCGGAGATTCCCTCGGTAAGAGCCGGACCTCTCTCGTGCTTGCCCGCTGGTCGCCATAGAACTTGACGAACAAGAGCTGGATTCAGCTTGAAAGGGGGGAGGTCTGCCATTGTCGTCCCTACTTCCACCTCCTCCTCCACTTGCTACGTGCCGACTGCTCCCTTGAGACCGTGCACTTCTTTGTTGATGTTGTTGCCGACTCCGAGGACATTGGTCCTCCAAGTGAAAGTAACGCCTGCAGCGGCTACACCATGGTGTATGGGTGTTTGCCAGCTTGACATCCACCACCTTCCCTTGGAACGTGGTAAAGGAAAGAGATTCCTTAATCCTTGGTAGAGCCTCGATATCGATGTCCAACCGCACGTTAATCAACTGCAGTTTAGTAACGTCCTTTTCCGATGGGTAGACCTTCCAAACTGGGCCGATGGCACGCGCTGCCGCATCCTCTAGGTAGCAATAGACGTCAATTGGCACGTCAAAGCACCGGACCCAGAAATATTGCCTAGCCTCCTCCCGCCTTGCTTCCTGAATTTCCGTCTTAGTCATCCATGGCTTGAAGGCGATGGAGTGCCACCTGCCTCTCAGTTCCACTCGCGCCATCTGCTCATTTTTCATCCAGTCCGCTACATCCCACTCCTTCGCAACGTAAGATAGGACGTTGCTTGATTCAATACAGACTCTGCCACGTGTCACTGACGGATCGAATCTCTCCTCGCCCATCCACACATTCTCATATGCCCTGATGACGTCCTCCTTAATCTTCTTGGGAAGGTTCTTAGAGCCTTCCTGGAAGATTACAGTGAATGTTCGTTCCTTCAACTAGTTCACTTTGATTTCATCCAGAGATGGGTTCAAAGTGAAGTGAGCCGAGGTACCTTCCTCTCTCATCTCCCCTATATCCCAGCCGATCGGCACAATCTCGGCATCAAAGCACTTGGCAAGCATATTCCTCACCCGTTCCTCTTCCGCCCAATAGTTAGTAACTGCTGGAGGAAGGGACCTGTTTTGGTGACGCTGGTCCTCTTCTTCCACTGCCTGTGGCTGTGCAGCTCCGCCTCTGTCCACTCCATTTGCTCCGACCATACCAACATCTCCCATGTGTGGTTGGCCAGATGTGCCTTGATTCTGTTTTGCAAGGTCTTCCTGAGGGCCGCCTTGCTCCATGGTTCGAACTGGAAAGCTTAGACTTGCTGTCCCAATTGGGAAGTTTAGCAGGTATCGGTGGTCGAACGTTCGGTCCACGTAAATGAGCTGATTACAGTATTCAGGTGTCGTAAGGCTGGAACACCTCCACCATAGCCGGCAGGCAAGGCTGCTGAGCTTGGTGGGGGATGACCTAGCAGGCTAGCAACCCACTGTGTTTGCGGGCGCTAGGCGTCCAGGCCGGTCGAAGCCGCCGCCTGCGGAAGCGAGCGCTAATTCGCGCCCTGAATTGGCACCCTCTGTTCCCGTTTCCGTGTGTCATTGTATGCCCGACATGTATTTGTGCGCAGAGTCAGACTTTTTTTTTTTTTTTTTTTTTTTTTTTTTTTTTTTT